TATTATGAGAGGCAGGGACGATGAACTTTCTCAATGAACTGATTAATGTGTTGACACTCGTAAAATTCAAGGTTCGAAATAGTGGTTGAAGCTCACTGTAAATTATCGGTACTATCTTATTACGTATCGTACGCGCAACCTACCGCAACTGATTATGAAGCAGATTTATGGTGTGTTCATTAAGAAAGCGTGGGTACCTACCGGATGCGTAATCGTTATTCATACACATTTACATTGTATCGATAAACAACGATTTTAAGAAATATCTATTTTCCTTGATTTTTGAATACCAAGATTTTACTACTAGTTAGTTTTCAAATTGTTGCAATTAACTGTCAAATTTTCAGTTTGATACCAATTAGTACTATCACGTAATTTGAAAGTTAATCACGGCAGAAATAATAGGTACAAAAATAAAATTTGTCTGATATTTTTAGAAAATAAATATATTTTATATTTAATTGCGTTTCTAGTTAACTAGATCTAAAATAAAAATGTAGTCACTGATAAAAAAGATATTAGGGAGTAAGGAATATGATTCAAAACTTTTTCATCGTCTGTACGTATTTGATAAATATTTTCTAACAAATGATAGATAGATAATAAATAAGGCGATATTCATTAAGAGATGTCTAATCAATGTTCTAATGTGTGTATATTTGACTACGCTCCCATTTCCTCCTATGTTCATGTAATTATATTGTTTTGGCTAGTAGCGAACTACAAGTCTGCCTAAGTAGACATTAAAGTATCATTAATCATGATGCCGTCAGGAGCAGCTATACATTTTTCATTCATACAGAGCTTTTCATTCTTGTAATAATAACTGCGCATATATCAAATAAAAAAGCCAGTTCTCATCAAACGAGATACTGATCCGTGTTTAATAAAACATTGGCTTCAAACAAAAGTCAATGTAATAGAAATATTGAACCTCATGAACTCAATACGCGCATGATTGAATTGTTTTGGCCGCTAGCCGACAGTCAAACTGTCTAAGTAGTCATTAAACAATCATTAATCACAGTCCCAGGCTGTGCACACTTGTCAAAAATGCATCATTACGAATTAATGCTGGACTAATGTAGAAGTCACATTTTTTAGAAAAAAATATAAAAAATAACTTCACGAAACATTTTCTTGGACTTACCTTTCAACCCCTATGAAAATTACCACCCTTATCGCGATATAATATTTTTCCGTGTATTTATATCCAATTGAATTTAAATTTATCGAATGGGACGGACTGTATTTATATAAATAAATTATTTAAATTGCACAAAGATGTGCATTCACTACAGATTTCTGTTTTAAACACGGGATATAAATATTACGCATACACTTTGTTGCGCGAGATCCTATCCATTATAATGGAGTTGTTATGCATTGCACAGTGACTCCACGAGTGCAAGCGGGTGCAAGAACGTAAGTGCATGTGCATAGGAATTCTAAGCAGTGACCTTGCACATGGTAACCTTTCTCGGATGTAGTAAAAGTACGAAATATAGTTGAACGTAACAGGAGAATTTGCATTGTTCGTCAAAGCAAGTGCATTTCACTTTTCTCTGAATTGAGTCGTCAAATGCACCCTGCGTAATAAATATGCACTTTATGTTATGATAATTTGCTATATGATTCTTGAAATTTTTCAAGAATTTCATTTTTTGAATACCCTCAATCTTGTTCACGTGTTACCCACAGCCAGCGACCATTCTGCAAGTTTTACGCACATTGGTAACAATACCTACAGTGTTTCCACACAAGTAAAATTTGCATTGTCTCACGCGGGTACACGTGTACCAAGCCATATTCACGGGTTTTGAGTTTCTTTGAAAACTGGAGCAATTTATGGCGTTCTCAAAATGTCGCAATATTCGACCTCCGTCGCCGACGGCTCCTTCTATGCACCACCAGGACTTTGCTTTCCCGTCTGCATTCTTTTGTACTGACATTTTCCTTATAGGTGACTGACTTTCTACAAAACTTCATGCAACCTATTTTCCTGCTTTTCTACGCTGCATTCCTTTTCGTTTTCGCTGCGAAAATGAGAATTTACGTTTTCACGGATATTTTAACGTAATCCTTACCACGACATTACAGCATATCTACTATGGCGATAGATCATACAGACGATGTTTATGCACACTTTCCGCAATATTTATGGTTAGTTTCACTTATGACACATACCCATAAGTATAACTAAATCCAAAGAAAATGATTTATATAAATAAAAGAAGTCTGGTCCAAAACACGCTGCTTATCAATATATCAAGACTTTATAGAATTTAACAGATTTTAACAGATTTATTTTTTTAGCTTCAGATATTTTCAATGTAAACATGTTAGATAATAAATGGAATCAATTTTTAAGAATTTCTTGCATTTATCCAATACAACAATACCGATAAGAATTGCGCAGGTGTATTGAAAATCATAATTCATTCAAATATCATTTACCGTCACATGCAATTTTTGAATAGCTACTTACCGAGATCCTGATCCTCTCCTCTTCGCTGTTGATCGTCCTGGCTTGCGGTATACAATAGATAACGAGCGTAGCGGCTACCGGTCGTTGCAATAATTGCAGGTTTACCGATGGAATCGTTGGTATGCCTGATGAACGTTCAAGCAACCACGACAAGAGAGAAAATAGCAACGGCCACCATTTACGACAAATGATTCGATACTAAGAATTCGCGGCTGTTCTTCTACGTTATTTTCTTTACTTCAGGCACAAATCAAGTACGAATGACTAGCGACGAAGTGAAGCGACGAAAAAGGTTTGACGAAGAATGGAATTCTTATACTTTTACTTGATTCAAGTAGAAAACAGTACGATTTTGAATTTTATACTAAAAAATGAAAAGTTTTGTAGATTTGAAAATCGTGACGTATCATGAACTTGTAACAGGGACTATATGTAATTGAAATATGGTGTTACCGTGTACTGTGTTGTTTATTGATATAAGAATTATGAAGAATGCTCAACAATGACGTTACACGAACTATAAAATAAGGACAAACCTGCAATTCCTCGAGATTTAGAAGTGAAATCGCGATCGTGCACGGAAGTGCGTCCGGATACGTTAAAAAATCAATATGAAATGACAGAATTAGTTCACGATTTGACCGCGGCGGTGGCAGCACCTCGCCGTAATTTCGAGGTGCACATCAATGGCCGCATTTTTTGGGTAGATTAGGCTAATGCGATGGTCCCGATGAGATATGGGCCAGCGAATGGGAATACCGGGCTAGGACGGCAGGGGCGGTCCGTACCCTGGAAACGGCGTGCCCCGGGCCGCAGTCACGACGTGAACTAAGTGCTGGGTGGAGCTCCGTCTAGGCACTACCTACTCGATGGAACCATCATCCTCCTGCTGGTGTCACGGCCTCGAGAATCTCATGGCCGCCGGTCTGCCGAAACGGCGCCACTTTTCAAAAGATTCTCGATCGTTCGAACTAAATCCACTACAGAACTAGAACATCCCCAACAACAAGTTCTACCCCATGACCATGAAGCATAAGAGCACTGAACTTGGACGTAGTACCGCAGATTTCAAAAAATCAAATTTTTGATTATAAAACAAAAAATGTATATTAATTCAAAATCGAACGACACCCGTGATAAATTTCAAAAATTTGAAAAATCAAAAACAATCAACCACCCGATACATTTCAGTGTCTGTCGTCACACGTGAGACATTTATCAGTGTCCGTGATACCAGCTAGATGCCACCTAGGACTCTGTATCCACGTCACCATCCATCGACCCTTCACAGCATCCCGTGCGAATAGGTCCACTTTTCAATTTTCCCTTGAAATCCCCCTTGCAGCCATTCCAAGAGCATAAATCGAATAAGTTTTTATTATTTAACATTTTGCGCTGGACCACGCGACCCCCGAGACGGAAGAGAGAGGAAATCCTCAGGAGAGAAAGTCTGCGCTAGAATGAGTGGGTGAGCTGGAGGGGGGACGCGAGAGATAGACAGCTACGTATGGATCCTCCACACAGAAAGAGGGACAAAGGTACAAAATTACTAGGGAGAACGTGAAGCCAGTAGGTGGTGGATATTACGTACTACCTGCTGCCACCCTTGAAGTAGAGACTAACAAAACTCCCTAGGAAACTACACGTTCTAGATACCTATATAGATATAGGTATACGTTATACTGCTCCACTGGCTGTCCCTAGAGATACTTGCCAAGTGTCATCGGGACATCCGGCTAATTGCAGGAGTGCTTAGTTACTCTCTGTGCTTCTATACGCTACAAGCCTTTGCGTTTAGCCTTTGTTTGTTGCTACTACCCAACGTCCCCCTGCTAAATGGAAACTATAGCTAACGACTCGACTTATTCTCGGGGTGCGAAGCTTTTGTACTTGTGCCAACGTATATCTATGTACATTCTAAACGTGTCCGTTTGTGAACATTTTCGTACACTGGTTTTATAGTGTGCATCTGCAAATCAATTTTAAAAGGCTTATCCATGGGGTAACTTTTGCTTAGATATAAATATATATGTTCTATTGGCATTTCCTTCGGAAGTGGGGATGTTCTAGGAATGACATGGCATGCATAAAATTTCCGACGTCGGAGACGTGAACATTGATTGCGAGAGAGACGCCGGCGTCGCGCGGTGGTTTACGGCGGAGAGACGGTATTCGGGGTACCCAACGGTGGCTCAGGGGTTGGAAACGAACGAGGGGCCTGCGATATTATTGATTTATGTCCCGTTCAACGTTATGTATCCCTGCGGCCTGTATAGTCGTATGAAATTATCCAGCCGAAATGCAAGCCAATATTGGTGAATATTTTGAGCATTTTTTCGAGACAGGAGAATCTGTTGTTGGTTTAATTTAAATATTGGATATTTTGTATATATAATTTTATTTGAATTAAAAAATTTTTTTAAGTATTTATTGAACATAGTAAATAAAATGTGTTAGTAAGAAAAGGATAAAAATATTTTAATAAAACTCACTAGCTTGAGGCCTACACATAATTATGTGAAACAATTAATAATTTAATACTTTAATGTTCGACTGAATCGAACGGTACAATCAATTATATATATTTTTTTCGATATCTGCTAATTAACTAATAACCAAATAATTAATCTAGCTGTTAATATTTCATCCAATTTGTATAAATTTTCTGATACCATTTATTATTAATATTATATATTATGCATAATAATTTATACTATCGAATTCATCTTGTTTCCCCTTATAAGTCCTAATTAATATAATTAAATCTTTAAAAAATAATCAAAAGACAAAAATGTTATTCATAATTAATAAAATGTATAAAATTCATTAAAAAAGTTCCACACTATATTTTAACAGATTGTAAAATATATAATCATAGAACCGAGAAACTCAACGTGTCAATAACTCCGCACTATAATTGATCGCGTTTAATTATCGGAAAATATGGAGTATATAACACGATCGCGTCATCGACAAACCATACAGGGTGTTTAATTTGTACAGGGTAGCTGCAGTAGGTACACATTCAATTACCTTCGATATGAATTACATTATACAAAGCAGTCGAGGGGTTTGCATCCATGGACCATAGAAGGGGTTACGGGGAAGCCGCCGAAAATTGATGCATTTTCTATGCAAAATAGCATAACGCAGCCACTAGTCGCGGCACGCTCTACACGCAGAATCCTATGGTGAACGAGTCGTAGTATCTTGTCCCACCCTAACATGGCTACTTGAACGGAATCGAGCAGCGTAGAGGCGGTTAACACTCTATTAACACTAACGGCGCTCATACATAACATCGGTGGGCATAACGCAACGCGGGACGGAATTTATGGTCTGTTAATGGGGGTTACTTTATGTGTTGCGGCGCGTGCAGTCTCCTCTTGGTGGCAGGTAGTGACGTAAATTTTATGAGGTCCATCGTGGTTCATGGGGCGGATTGAAGACCTACCCTTGAATCCTAGTAGCCATTCAGACATACGGTAGCAATTTGTGAAAAGTAGTTAGCATGCATCTACTCTATAAAGACATAAATTTTAAAGGGACTATTAGCATTAACATGCATCTATTTTATCTGTGACCCTTGACCCTCAGTACTATCTGAACATATCAAAGACTGGTGGCTCGATGTGTCTAAATAATTATAATAATTTCTGATATAATTGTTGGTCAACAGTTTAATCTAAACGACTATCTAAGGGTGGATATATTCAGAGTGTCTATAGTCACATGTAGGGCGTATACGTGTAAACATGAAAGTTACGCAAGCTCACCGCATCACAAGTGCAGCCAGATGAGTGCCAAAGTTCAATATGAGATCCTGCTCTTCTGCTCCTTTCATTGTCTCCCATGCTCTGGCTTGCGCTCTCTCTCTCTCTCTCTCTCTCTCTCCTCTCTCTCTCTCTCATTCTCCCCTGTTCTCCCTGGCAAAGGAGACGCGCGAAGGCCGGTAAAGTGATAAAGCGGCCATAAATTCTGACCGGCACCCTCCCACTCCTCAGGCACCGCTCCTCCTCTACCACCAGGTCCCATCTTCGTTCTTCCCAGCATCAGAGTATATCCCAACCATCTCCAGGATCCACGTAGATGCACCATCTCCCTCTTTTGAACGGATCCCACGGAGCTTTCGGCCTTCTTGCACCTTCAGACAAGTGACCCATCTGCTTGCTGGATATGCTCGATGCACCTGCAACAGTCCACTCGCATGGATTAGCGTACGAGCCAGGCACGAAACCAGGTCTGCTTAATGATCTACTCACCTGAGATGTATTCTCTGTATATATACGCACGTGGTATCCATACAGTAGATGCTTGAAGATTTAATATTCGAAGTCGTCTTACCGTCCTGGGTCAAAATCCATAGATGATAAAAAAACTGCCTCCGGATGAATTCCCGACCTAGGTCTAGTGTTGGATAAGAGGCAACAGCTGAAGTCAGGATCAATTGAACCAGGTGCAGATAATTCAGACCAACGTTGCTGCTGGACCAAACTGCTCGGCGAACTTCCTTCAGGCAGCATCAGCGAAATCAGAATTTGACGACAGTTGTAAACAGACATAGGCGTAGGACGTTCAAAGATGCGAAAGACGCTGCAGATGCATCCGGTCAAAATTTCGAAAGCGAACGTGGAATAGGCATAGCTAGAAAGTAGGCACGGTACGTTCGGTGCTGCAGGGGCGAACAGACAGAAAACCCAATAAATCATCCGGTCACGAGCCATGAGCCAAGGCGGAGCCTCTCGCCTCGTATTAGCCAATAATAATCCTCTCCGAGGTGGAGGCCATCTTGGATTATACAATGGTTCCTTCCGCCGCAATACGTCTGAATGCAAACCCTAAGTACTGGCACCCCTTGGTTGGAATCCCAGGGGTGTACACTGTAGCGATTTTAAAGAATTCTTGTAAACTCAAGACCCTGATCATTAGACGTGTAGATCTGAATTGAAAAAAAAAATTGATACTGACGCCGATACAATAATTTGAAATTATATAACCTTGTAAATTTGAAAGCATGCGAAGAAAGCACTTGTGGCACGAGCCATAAAACTTCGGTGATAATAAATCATCGAGTTTGCAAAGTCCTAACACAACCTTTACGCCTAATGAATTTCGACCACGTGATATCATATTCAACCACAATTTATTTCTCGTTTTCAAACACAGTTATTATAATTAATATCATTATTATTAATATGGACAGACTCTTATATAATACAATATGGTTTAGACTCGACGAAATAATAGCAGATAATACTATTATCGTAATTCATCATCGCCATCGTCATACTCATAATACAATAAACATCGTTATCACCATCATTCGCGTTGTCGTCATTAACGTCGTACGTCACAAATACGTCAGAGTCGTCATCATAGTTGTCGTCCTTTATGTATACATTTAGTTTACATACTGCGGGACACTACAAAATAATTATATACGTATAATCGTAATAATATTCGTATTTATACCTTTTTTGTTTTTATGTATATATATATATATTTATATTTATATATATATATAGATTCATTCATTTATTTATACCTCTTTTCTTAATAATCGTTCGGTATGTAGTGCCAGTTACCTATCGTCCTGCACGATTTTAGAAATTTCTCAAAATCGTACTTTTGGTTATTCGTTACGAATAGCGCAAGTATCTATTTTCCTCGAACGGGTAAAATCCGCTATTGGATCTATATTTGTGCACGGCTATTGACCATTGGCTTTACGTGCCATCGGTCGGGGCAATGCGTCCACGTGTTCATCTATAGGTAACTCCAGTGTGCTCGTAATTAGATTCGAGAAAATTAAAATGTCGGCACTGTGCCTTTTGATCTCGAACTAATACCACGAGGGGAGGACGAAGTAAAATACAAAAGGGAACAAAGTAAATGGTAAACGGTGTATGGTATAGAGAGATTAGGGCCTTTCAGAATTAACGGAAACACGTGAGTTACCATTCTTTGAAACAATGGCGTACGAGGACGTCGCGGCTCATGTAAATATTGTCATCTCTTACGCTATAGCGGTCGTAACGTGTTACCAGTCGATTAATTAGTAATTTATTTTTTTTTAATTTTTTTATTTTTTCTATATACGAATCGCCCCGACGCCACGTCGCATTTACAGGAATTATCGTTTACAGTACATCGTAATAAATAGTATAGAACTCTGCTACTGTTACTTTGTAAAGTTTATTCTCTAGCAAACAGGTACCTACTTTACCTACGCGGTATCGTATACAGAGTCGCGGCTCGCGATTCGACGCCGCGACGTCAGACGTCGCGTTTCACATTGCCCTGCCGATAAGATCAAAAAGGAGACCCTGCCGTTCACTATTTGCACATCACCTTCGTCCATTCGAGTTAACACGCTATTATCAGTGTTATCGTCACTCGCGATTCATCTTTTTTTTTAGAAGGGGATGGGGTGTTATCGGGTAAATTTTGCGAGTTAAGGTGAAATAGTTCAATTGGGATTTTCGATTTTTTTTTTAAATCTGATATACAACTCATTTAATTTAGGAATTTACACAATATAATTTTATAAAATTGCCAGTAAGGATTCCTAGGGTAGATACTAATAGTACGAAACGAGAAAAATGTACAGTGTGAGAAAAAATATATGCACCCATGTCTCGAATACTATTCCACCTTGATTCCTGTGACACGTTGATTTTTCAAAAATTGTTCCACGTTCTAAATTTTTGTTTACGTAATTGGCTGCTTTCGGTCACGATCGTCGCTCTGCGAACTTTTTTCCGGTTTATCAGTCTTAATAAGGTGGAACCCTGACGGGGAGACTACGCACGCAATACGTTATAATGACGGACAAATATCTAAATGTAATAAATCACTATACAATTAATCAAACACGTGCCTGATGTATTGATCAATTGCACCATATATTTCAAAGGATTCTATCGGATAATATTAATTCATTCGAAATATATTTAAAAAAAATGATTCTAACGGATTTCTCTGCAAATAGGTCATTGAGCTATACACGACTGAAAACATTTCTATGATTGAGGTAAACGAGACAGTGCGTGGTCCCACCATATATCAGAGTGCGGTATGCCAAAGTGCTCTGTTATAATATGCTCTGCGTTATATAAAATGAAGGTTGCTGACCCCGTATACACGATGATAAATATTACGTTACAAGTAAGTAAAAGTAAATCCGAGTTTATTTACGTATGAAAGTAACTAGCCGGGGGATTTCTTTACGTATGTTAGGTATTTAGTTATATATAGGTATACACAACTAACGGCACCTGCTGGGAGAGCAGCAGCAGGGCCAGGAACTCTTCGGCGTCTGCGCGAGCGAGGACGTGGCTTTAGCGAGTACTTAATATATTCACCTCTTTTCATAATTCATTAAGTTTATACGATTTTTTGGATTTTAGGGAATATACAGGGCACGTCTCGAATCCACGAAAAATATAATAATCACAAACGCAGAATTCTGTTTTGGAGGGATAAAACTGAAATAAAAATGTAAATTTTTTATATTGCAATAGAAATTTCTTAACTTCGCATCCAAAGGAAGGCAATAAGAGATAAAGCATAGGAGAGACAGAGACAGAGAGATATAAAGAGAATAACAAAGAGAAAGAGAGAGTATACTAATAGACGTATTGACATACGTGAAACAGTGTACTAAATTAATTCGGTCACGTGTAAAATGGCTACACGCAGTTGTACGTTGTAAAAAATATTTATTAGACATTCAGGTGAAAACAAAAGAAGTCCATTTTGTGAGATAACATGGTATTAATAAATACTACGTAACTAAGTAATATTACAGGCCAATAGCTATATACGTGTGATTTCTTTTTCTTTTTAATTCCCTTTCCCTATAGGCGCAACGCGCATTGTCTCCCATTGGATTCCGCCTGGCGTTTGCGGGCTACCCCAGTAAAATATTAAATTATGTACATCACCGCAAACCCCCACACATCTATTTAATCCGCCAACCACAGGTCGATCTACAGGTTCTTTCATTTTCCATTGGGAACACATTGTAACTTCTAAGATAAGCACGTGCGCGCGTCCTTATCGTTGAGATGAAATTTTTGAGCGCCAACGAAATTCGAGCGGTATCGTTTTGAAAATTATTTTGTCTTTCTGTCTTTTATGGTACTTTTATATTTCCTTTACTAAGATTCTTTTTTTTTATTATTTTTTTTTTTTTTAATTATGTAATTCACCATCGCCCCCGCCCGCTGCAACCGACACGCCTGCATACTTAAGCCTAATACCTTAATCCTGAAGATTTAGATTTTTAGACGTTAGCTTATCTTTTAAAGGGCTAGCCTAGTGACACACCTCGTACGTACGCGTAATCGTTTTTCTCTCATCTCCTTTCTTTCATCTCTCACGGTTAACCTCTACTTTACATACATCCACGGTACTTTTAATTTACGTATATCCGTATTCACCATTTTACGCGGCCATAATTACGAGTAGAGATAAAATATATAATTTGCATTTATACCTTTTCGTTATAATCTACGAATTCTTCGTTACCGTCATTTATAATCTATATAATGATAAGGTAATCATTTAATATCCAGCGGATAGAAAATTTCTTTTTTTCATATTACGTACGTTGGGTGTGCTCATGGCGATCGTTCTCTGCAGCGCGACGGTGCCTACATTCTTTTTTTCATAGAACAAAAATATTTTTCTCATTTACATGAAAAAAAAAGAAAATAGGGGAGGGGGAATTAAAATTCATAATTTTGACGCTTTTTATATTTTCATATTTATCTATCACCGATTTCATTAAAAAAATTCAATTAATACGCGTTTCTCGTCACTTCCTCTAGCAGGTGAAGGATTGCACAAAATTAAAAAATACTATATAAATTAATCGCGGCGAAAAGGGAAAACGCAGGGCGTAACTATTAGAGGGTCAATTCCGTTACTTGCGATTTCAAAACCCGTCCGGTTTCCCGCCACCCTAACAGAGCGTTACTTTATCCTTGCGTAATCTCGTGTCTCACGAACAAATCTCCTTTCGAATCGTTCTTATCGATTCGATAAGGGCCCCCGGTAGTGTGCTATATAAGGGGGTGGGGGTGTGCATTTTTTTAAGACCACGTGATTACGCAAGAATAGAGCACGGCGTAAAACGTAGCTACGTCGTACGTTATACGAAGGCGATAAATTTTCCTTTTGTCTCGCGAGCCGCGCCCTGCGCCTCGATATACCGCTGCTCGTGTGACCCATATACACCCTCGAGATCGTTGATTAATGCTCGATTAATACCCACCAAGGGATATAGAAGGTGCGAAGGTATGTATTATCGCTAAGTATAGGTATAGTTCGGGACTCAAACACAGGATCGTAGGAGGATGAACCGAGGGGATGACGATGACTATAAAATTTACACCCCGGCGGATCGATTTTCAAGAAACTTCCAAGTAGATAGGTTATACGCATCTATACTATACATAGTGTGTTATACTATATATAGTATATAAACCTATGATCGAATCGATTAAATAAGCATCGTGATTATACACTACAGGGGTATATGACTAAAGTGATTTTTTTAAATTTTCATTAAAGGACCATATGAAGATATATATTTACACAAGCTGCAGGTGAGACGCGAAGAAAGAATACGTGAAGCTAGGACGATAAGAAATATATGATAACGGGTAACAATCACCGTGGGAATATTATTGCATAATATTCGGTGACGAGAATACACGAATAGATTTGACGTAAGATGCAGCGTTTAGGGGTTATGAATATTGCCCCTCTCTTATAATTTTAGCTACTTTTATTTTTTGAGGATCCGCTGGCTGCAGTTAACGATGGCCCTGGGGTTTATCGACTCTTCGTTCGTATAATCTTTTTCTTTTTCTTTTCATTCGTTTTACAAGACATTTCGTTGCGCTCTTGAAAACATTGAAATTACATAAATAAATTTCTCGAAAATGAAAGGCCGGTCGCTCTCGAACGACGCGCTTTCGCGTACGAGCTGGACCACGTATTACGTATATCAGTTCTATGCTTCTTTACACAACCTGGGATGCTCTGGGGTTTTCGAAAGACTTTTTCATAGGGATGTACGGAAGAGGTGGATTCGCGCAAGGGATGGGATATCGATGCTCTGTAATGGTAGTGAAATTTTGGGATTGGGATGCTGGGGGATACATCACCCAGGATATCTGACGTAATCTCATCCCTCTACGCGTTCACGGTAAATCCTCTTTCTTAAATAGAATAATCGTTCTATTTATAATATAATATTTTTTTTTACGTATATCGTTATCGTGTATAATAAAACTAAGTGTCGAACTAACTTTACAACACAGCACAGAATTCGCCGCGGCGCGTCTCGGCTACCACGGGAACCGAATCGATCTTCGGTAATTTATATTAATATTATGTATACAATCGGTTTACATGCGAAGATTAAAAATCGATTTCCGATCGATCAGTCGGTTCCCGGGCTGACGATTTCTTCGCATACATACACTAGACAACGAGAAAACGAAATGGGTATTGAATAGGAAAAAAAAAAAACAGAAAATAAGAAAAATGTTAAGAAATGGAAAAAATTATTTATAAAGGATTCAAATCCATGACTGATCATCGCGTTTAATGATTTTAGTCCCGAATCGTGTACAGTGCATAAGGGTGTCTATACATTTTTCGCGTCGACCGTACGCGTGATTTTATCGTAAGAATCGTTGCAACGAACCGCAAGTATACATATAGGTACTATATAGTCGAAATTCTTAAATTTCCATTAAATAATAAGAAAACGCTTTTTTTGGGGGGAGAAATTTTAGGACGGTTAAATTTACTATCGGAGTCAAAAGATCCAGCTTGTCGTGCCCGGATTTAATTTGACGAGATTTGCAACTGGTAACTGGTACCTAAAGGATCGATCGTATAAAATTTTCAAAATTTTACCTCGTGAACAGATTAGCTTTGCAAAACGATACTGAATTTCTGACAAATTGATGCGAACATTTTCGACGACCCGGTATGCATGCAATTCTCGTCAATGAACCCGAATTGGGACCGCGCTTGATGTGTCCGGCCGATTCCAGATCTCAATAATCCGAATCGTCTTTGTGCACAATTACGTCACATGGTAACTTGACCTCGAGTACGCGGAGCAGAATGAAGTAAAAGATCTTGGCAACTTTTTAAACTGAGAAGCAAATATCTACGAGTACAGGTGCATTCAAAATGCAGAGGTCAAACATAAGTATGCTAAAGTCCTTATAAGCGGAACAGGATCGAATTGCAACAGTAAGGTGACAGTGGAGTATTTTTCGTGAAAGACGAAATTAATTCAAAAACAGGCAATAAGGTCTGTGAAATTAAATTTAAAAAATTATATGTGTAATGCTTGCCTGTTAATTCTTTTTAAAGGACTGACCTTTCAGATGAAAATTCCAAGAAGCGAATAGCCAAGATGAATTCATCGCTGCTCCGCCAGAGGATTCCGCACGCACTTCCATCATTTTACAAGCCTCCTCCCTAAATCATTCATCCAAATCTTTATACATTCTCACCGAATAAAATTCTTCCATTCTCATCGAAAAAAACTTCCAAGGCGCCGTCTTGGAAATACACACTGCGAACGAGTAATACGATTAATTTTTCTTGCCTTTTTTCTTCATTATATTTCACGATCGATTTATCGACTCCAATATCGTTATAATATCACCGTATCACTGGGTATGATGATTGCATGTAGAAAAAAAAAATAAAAAATAAAATCTTTTACTTCCGGTAACATCGAGTAATTTTCTCTCGTTTTCACACGTATACAATCACTGGTTCCATTCTCGACCACGATACGCCACCCTATGGACGTTCTATTGAAATTTTGAAAATTTTATTAAATTTAATTCTCCATACAATATCGCAACGTATTATTTTCCATTTCACGTACTTCCCGTTCATGGACATTGAGACCATCCCACTTCCGTTTTTACTCCCGAACCCTTATAAGGTATTTTCTTCATTTATTTTCTTCCAGGAAGAAAAAAAGGGAAACTAAAAACTTATGATCACACTTGGCACGTCGCGAAAAACTGCATACCCTCGCCGAGCCACCGCGGTAATAGAGAACTATCTAAACAATCTCTATAATACTAAACCGTCTATCTGTCGTTTAATAGAGACGTAATAGATAACCGTTATCTACACTAGCAAACGCTACGTACGCTCTACATATGTACGACGTAAGAGAATAATAAATAATAAAACGCTTCCTAACTTTTACGCGGATCATCATCATCATCATCATAGTTCGTACCTTCGATTTTCTCATCAACATTCGCATCTCACACTTTTCATTTCAACACTCAATCGTATCTGCCACTCATGCTATACGTCTGACGTAACATTCACACACGAGGCACACACTCGGACTCCCATCATGCGTACGCAGTTCTTGCACGCACCCGCACTCACTCGATCCACACGCACACGTCGCATTAAGTTACGTAATATCTCGTATCTCTATATAGGCTTTAGTAAATTATATTCGATTAAACGTAATAGAGGTTAACGCGGTTCTGATTAGCATGTGATCCAGTTTTCATTTATTCATTATTTTAAATGATTCTTGTTTTTAAATGTTATTTCGGTAGCATTGCGCATTCCCATACTCTTCGAATCCGACTCGTTCAGCCCATCCGTCTTGTCTCACCGGTTTTCCCATTCTCTTTGTCACTCCACCCTTCGTTTCCTCTTCGTCAGCATCCCACACACTCATCCTCTCTCCTTAACCGTAAAGCCATCTTCGCGTCCACTTCAGCCTGTGTCCCTTCGTCATTATCATTATATCCCTTTGCGTCTCTTCTTTTATTTGGTACGAGCAACTTCATTAACACGACAAGATAAGCGTCATTGCTTGCTGTGGGGGTCATTTTGGAGGTCATC